ATGTCCTGGAAAAGGTAATTGTGGCGGGAAAATTAACCTTGAGGATCCTGATTCACTAATTAAAGCTATCGATTTTAGCCATAAAATAGAAAATTGTGTCAATGTACAATAGGCTTTACTTTGAGTTGCAATCCCTCTGCAGGACTGAATTAAACTAGGGTTGAAGAAATGTATCGGATTAATCGATTATTGAAATAATCATCAACTCATTTAGTAATCAATACATCGTTAACTGGAGTATAGAGACTGTAAAACAGGCCTTTAGCTGACAGAGCAACTAACCTTTAGCAGTAATTATACCAAAATTGTAAAACATGTAAATATTTTGCATTTAAGATAAAAAACATTTTCGTCTCTACCTAGAACTCCTCAAGTGGAAAAGTTTTAGTTTCACCTGGTTTAATATCATAAAAGGTCTTTAAGGAACCTTTTGCTATCCGATTATTAATGAATAAATAATCAACAGATTAATAGATTTGCAAAATAATTGTTAGTTGCAGCCCTACATTAAACCCTGAAATTTTTGTTTAATTCTGCACAAAGAATTTGATTTAGCTTTTTTTTTTATTTCTCCCATTATAACCAACAGTGCAAACGACAGAAACAATATGAGAAAGACAAGTTAAAATGGATAAAAGGACAAGATGGAAAAAAAAAGGTTAATGGTAATTTGTACCTAGCATTGCAGCGTAGGTTGTACGGTAATAGAGTTGATTGCTTTTACAGCTCCATTTTTAAAACAGCAACCAAGGGCACGCATTATTTCATTTATTTATTGTTCAAAACCCTGAATAATTCAGCTTTATGCTTCTATCTTCTTTTTAACCAGTCTGTATCTGCTTCACAGGTCTAATGAGAGACAGAGGCAGAGTAAGTGGGCCTCAGAGACCTCAGGGTAGACATGTAGTCAGGGATGAGTAGCACCTGAGCTGACAGGACTGAGGCAGCATATCGGTAGGAAAGTGTTGATGCTTTTCAAAGTATTCCTGGTGGGCTGGATAAATCAGATTAGTTCAGACTGTTGCATTGCTTGCAGTGATATAAAGATTTATGCAATATATAATTGTTGTCTTAAATGGTAACTTTATGTGTTAATGTTTAAGCAGTTGTGTCAGTAGGACAAAAGGAAAGCAGAGAGGGGATTAGATGATATGTGGCCTAGTTTTGCAGGTTGGGCTCCTTTCTTTCACTTATCCCATTAGCAGGTGAGAGACTCCCTTCAACATCATAACTAGATCTCAGATGGAAAATACAGAGAAAATTAATACATTCACCTCTGATAATTATATTCAGCAAAACACATTAAAATATATTTTATGTTGGGCTAGAAAATAAGCTCCTTATCAAAGAAACAAGAGATAAGAAAAATAAAATCTCACCAGAACAGATCTGACAGCCGGATATATATGAGATGATGATCCAAAATCATGCCTAAATATACAAAAAAACAATAAAAATCTGAACTAAGATAGTTTAGATGTTAATGTATTGTTTGCAGCCATGAGCTGAGCGGAGACGCTCCTGCAGACGCGTCTCTGCTCTCAGCTTCCCCCCGAGAGGCGCATCTTCAAGCCAGACAGTTTACAGGAAGAAGGGCCAATCAGACTTTCAAAATAAGATGCAAGATTCTGATTCATTTTTGGTATTGTGAAATGGAAAAAAATTAGAACTAATGAAACAAAAACAGACATGTTTTACATGCAAGGTGTTTACAGAATGGTTTTCCGTAACTTGAGCCAGTTTAAAATCCCAGGTTATATTTTACAATAGGCTCAAAGCCTACATCTATTTTGAAAAATAATTTATGAGCTACACATAAAGTAAAGAAAATAATTATTTACAGTCGTTTACAGATTTTCCAGATGAGGTGGTACTGTAAAAGGGCTCAATCTATGTTTACATTGAATTTCAAATTAAAACAAAACAAAACAAAAGTTAAAATTAAATACAAACAATTATGTAATGTTTCCTTAAAATTCAACATTACACAATAATTGCCAAGTTAGGTATTTTTTATCTGCGCACAACTGAAAATAAAGCCACTGGGAAGCTTTTCGGGATACTGCAGTGACATGTTCTGTCCAGAAGAGTGTGTCAGTTATCTTATTTGGTTGAGGTTTGAGGACCCAATTGCAGAGGCAGAGAGGCAGAGGTGAGTTTTTTTTTTTTTAGATTTAATGAAATGTTCACAAACAACTGAGGTAGGAATTCAAAAATCCAACATGAAAAAAGTCGAACAAACCAGAACCATGGAGACATCAAGAAAAAAAACAATCACGGCGAGGTAAGACGAGGTATGGCGGAGTTAGACAATGAACCAGCATTAAAGAACCGAACAAGGAAAGTATTTATGGGAGACTGAAACAAAGAGAGGACTAACGAGCTGATTGGGAGCAGGTGTGAAGAGAGGAGTCTAGAAAGGAGCTAGGGAAAAAAGGAGACCAACACAACAGGGCAGCAGAGGGCAACAAATAAAAACCTAAGAACTGAAATATAACCAGAAAACACAACAAAATAAGAATTAAACCAATAAAACTAGAAAACATGGAGCGAAGTAAAACAGAATACTCAAAAGAAAACATAACAAAACCACGATTGTGACAACAGTGGGCTCTTTTTATGCAATCACAATAATAATAATAACAAGAAATAAAAAACAGGGTGAATTTAGTTGGCTTTGTACTTACCAAAGTCAAGTATCAGTTCTGTGCTCAAATCTATTCAGTTCAATTCAGTTTATTTATAAAGCACTAATTCACAACACATCTCATGTAGAGCAGCGGTCCCCAACCACCGGGCCGCGGACCGGTACCGGTCCGTCGGTCATTTGGTACCGGGCCGCCTAGATGAGACCGGCTTGTTTCAGAGAAACAAGCTCAGGGCTCCCACTAATTC